CTCTCTCTCTCTCTCTCTCTCTCTCTCTCTCTCTCTCTCTCTCTCTCTCTCTCTCTCACACACACACACACACACACACATACACACACACACACTCAGATTAACCGATTTGTGGGTTGGATTGATTGGTCGAGCAATAAGTCGATGAGATGATCTGTTGATCGGATTCTTCCTTTTTTTTTTTCCTGATCCGTTGGTCGAATTTTTTCTTTCCGGATCAGTTGATCGAAATGTCATTCCCCTGATCCGATCCATTGATCGGAGTTCTTTTTTCTCGAATGCGTTGATCTTTTCTTTTTTTTTTTTCCCTAAGTGCGTTGATCAATTTTATTTAATCCGATCCGTTGATCGACTGATTGATTAGTCACTCGAACGAAATAATGCAATGGGAAAAAAAAAAAAGAAATGCAATCAAATAAATGCAACGAAATATTTGCATTGAATAAAAATACAATGGAAAAAAAAATTGGCATGCAGTAAGACGAAAAATGTACGGACATTGCTGTTCGAAAAAAAAATATTTTTTTTTCAAAGAAAAGCAATGCAGTGAGAGATGTAGTGAAAAACTCCAATGCAGAAAAATCTACTGACATGCAGAGCAGAGAAAAATGCGGAAATGCAGTCCGATACACTGAACTGCAAGGAAAACTAACGTCAAAAAATAAAAAATAAAAAATAACAACAGAAAGTAAGAAAAGACAAGAAAACAAAAGCGTTGCAAACCTGATGAAGAGGGGAGGAAGAGATCAAAAAACAAAACAAAAAAAAAAAGAAACAAACAGACTGAGACGACGAGACAAGAGAAGACGAGATTGGTGGGGGGGGAAAACAAAAAGAACAGACGACAATTTTTCAGAAAAATACAAAAAAAAAAGCAAACAAATAGCCAAAGAGTCAACCTCACAACAAACCATACTATCTTTTCATTACCAGAATTTTTTTTATTCGTTTTTATCAAAAAAAAAAAAAAAAACGAAACCCTGCCAACCTGTCAAATCAACACCCAGCAATGTCGGCGGTTTTTACGCATCTATCTCATCCTCTCACTAGTCTATTTATAGTACGGGGGAACACCAACCAACCCGGATCTCTCCCCAGCCCTGGGGGTAGGTTTGCACCACAGCTGTGGTGCGACGGTTTTTACCGCATTTTCGATTTATTTTATTATTATTTTTTTTTTTAATCTTCGATGATTTCCTGTTCTCCCACCCTCTCTGAACTACGCTTAGCAGCATTGAGCTGGCAGAAACCAACCAACCAACCAATCAACCAAAAAAAAAAAAAAAAAAAAAGACAGAAAGAAAGAAAGGGCCGCTATAAAATCTGGTAAATAATTTAAATAAATAAAGTAAAATAAAATAAAGAAACCAGTCCCAACCTGTCAAATCAACGCCCTGCATGGTGAAGGTTTTCACCGCATCTTCGATGGCCTCCTCTTCTTCCATCCCGAACTCATCCACGTTTTCCTTAACCGCCGCGTCGAAAAAATCTTGAGTAATGCGCACTTTCGACCTTGACGCCATTTTCCAACTGCCACGTGTCCTTCTTCCTTCCTCCTTCCTCCTTTCTCTTTCTCTCTCTTTTTTTCCTTCCCTTCCTCCTTTCTCTTGCCTCACGCACTGACTGACGCTGTAGATCTGCACATGTATTTGTTGTCCTCTTTTCCCTCTGTCTCCTCTTCTCCCTCGCTCTCCTCTTCTCCCTCTCTGCGGCGGTTTTGTTTTTTCTTTCTTTCTTTTCCGTTCTTTGTTTTCGCTCCGATCTATTAGTGGGGTGCTGGCCTGTCCGCACAGTTTACCTCGCAGTGTTCGTCACACAGACCTGCCGGGTAAACCGTGGGCAGAGAAGGAGAAGACGACAACAATCAATATTTATAGGGGGCAGCCGCCGCTCAACCTACATCCACGTGGGCGGCCTTGTACGCAAGAGGTTCTGAACAGGGGGAGTTGCAAGTAAGAAGATAAATAAGGAATTGATTTTTTTCTTGTTTTCCTTCTGCTTTTTTCGCTTTTGCGCTCTGATATCTGTCTGTGACGACAGTTCTGTTTGTGACGATATATATATATTTATTTATGTAATGTATTTATATACAGGGTAACCGGCCGAACGCCCGAACGTATGGGACCCCTTGGGGATGAGTTCGGCCGAATGCAGACCCAAAAAAAAAAAAAAAACTGAAAAAAAGATATGTTATACCACCAGTACCTTTCCCGCGTGGTAAAATAGGGAAAACTGGCAGTTTTCCCAAGCGCCTGAATTTTCGGAGGTCAGGCCCGACGACGACTACCTTTGATAAATCTGATAGGCGGGATCGGCGGCCGTCGTTTCGTTTCGGCCGCTGCAAAGGTCCTATGCCTACCTGAGTCCCGCTATTTTCCAAGCCGCAAAGGTACTGGTGGTTATAAGAAAAATAAATTAAACAAGATTTAACATTCAAATTCCTACCAAATTTGAAATAAAAATAAAATACCAAAAACAAGGGATAATTTGCGAAATACCCCTATAACTGGAGTTATATGCCAAAATGCCCCTAAAAGATATGGGTAGAGCGAAATGCCCTTTTGGGCCTAAATCTTTGTGTTTTGCCCCTGTCAGGCCCATGTGCAAATTTGCAATCTGGACCCCGACGTTGGGGCCTGGGCCTGCACCCTGTCTTACCCGGTTTGCCCTCCATACCAGGTGGACAACTTTGCGGAATACCCAGGCCCGTGGGCACGGCAGTTTCCCTCCGCGATTCAAACTTTCAAACGCGTTCCAAGTCTCTGCCTCTGTCTCCCGCTGTGTTCGGCAGCTTTCTTCATCGTCCTGGTTCCACCCTGGTAAGGTTCCCCATCTCCAACTCCTCCTTCCCCCCAACCCTCCAAGTTCTCCTCCTATGACAGGTCACCATGTCTTAAATCCTCCTGCTGGTCATTCCTGCGCTCTCTCTCTCTCTCTCTCTCTCTCTCTCTCTCTCTCTCTCTCTCTCTCTCTCTCTCTCTCTCTCTCTCTTTCTTGCATGTGCCACTCCAGCTATCTCGCGCCCGCTATCCTGCCCCGCTATCCCGGTCCCGCTATCTTGCCCCGCTATCCTGGCCCAGCT